TTTAAAGTAGTAGAACCAACCCCAAAAAATTTTTTTAGGCTGTTGTGGTTTTCAAGCAATTTTACGTTTTTTATTTTGTGGGGCTGTCCCGGAATATTCGCTTCGTTTTCGTTTCGGGGCCCGAATAGAGACCTAAAAACTATTCGGTATTCGCCGAATAGTTGCTTTTGGGCCGAATACGAATAGTGGTTACCTACCCCCGTTTTGGGACTGGGGGAGAATAAACATATCAAGATTTCCCCCCTTTGGTTCATACTGTAAAGCTTTATCTTTGGCACACCAAAGGGGTACCAAGTGAACGTCTTTTAGTACAGCTGGAAATACCCAGTGAGAAAAGAGCTCCCCAAAGCTGACAACAGGGAAACGATTTTTTTTAAGAAATGCCGCTTTTATGGTTTAAATTTAAAGTGTTCAGCGACAATTAAATTTTAGTACTTGTTATAAAACTAAAAAATACTTTCATTTCGGGATTAGTTAGCACGACGATGACGAAGGATGAAAAAACATGAAATTTTTTAAATGTTTACATTTGTCACTTTTTGTAAAGTAAATTTTCAGCGTAGTTTTGACCCTATGGGGGGGGGGGGGGGGGGGATTGCATTTTATAAAAAAAGGGGAAAAATAGGGATTGAATAGTGGGGAAAAAGAAGGGGCAGAAAAAAAAAGGAAAAAGGATTTTCGTCAGAAATTTGATTGCCGGGGAAACACGGGAAGAGATTTAATGCAAAAGGGGAAGGAAAAAATGAAGAAAGAGAAACCAGAATTTTTTTGCGGGGTTTAGAAAAAGAATTTTGCGAATTCCAGAAAAGGGTGAAAGTCCGGAAACGTAGGCGGGGAAACAATTTTAGACCCAAAATTTTTTCAAAAAAAAATTTTTGGAAGAAAAAAAAGCCCAAGGGTTTTAAAAGGGGGAGAAAAAGGGAATATCAAGAAATAAGGAGACAGTCACATTTTTCGGCTTTATAAGATGAGGGAAAAGGAACATGTGGTGACCACTGGAAGGAGGTATAGAGGAAGAAAACGAGAGAAGATTCTTGAGAGTTTCGTTGCATGGCATGGATGTGTGTCAGTACACGAACTGGTACATGCTGCAGGAGATCGTGGATTTTGGAGAGGCATGATCGCCCACGCCAGTCGGCAAAGCACCTGATGATGATGATTCACTATTCGTATTCGGCCAAATAGTTGGTTCAGCTATTCGTATTCGGCCGAATAGTGAAAATCACTATTCGGTACAGCCCTATTAGTTTGCTATTGCTAATGTACGGTCGGCAGTCGGTACTGCTGTCGAAACTAAGGCAAGACAAATTGTCGGCAGCTAGTATCCGACTCGGCACTCCGACATTACGAAGCGCGTTCTAAGCACAGACGCCGACTTTGATTAACAATAACTATTTACAATAACATCTCTTCGATTTCTTCTGACATGCTTGGTAAAGTCTTTTCACATAAAGATGACGTCCACGAGGTATTAATCCTAAAGTCGGGAAGAGAAAAACCACCTACCCTGTTTCATTACATGATTAAGCCATGACCTACTTTAGTATCTACCAAAGTAGGTTATGTTTAAGCAAATTTGCGGTCTACATGGACTTTTGCGCCGACCACTTTTGGGCCGTGGCTCACGTGTTGAAGAACACTAATGTAAAATATGTAATATTTCCCCAAACGGCGGTGGGTACCATGCAGCCAACCTTGATTGTGGAGACGGCACACAGTTGGTAAATACAGCTCTGTGATTTAGAGGTTAGAAGGGTCGTGAGCCTGAGGATTTACGGTCGCATAGCTAGTGCTGTCGCCATGCACTGTGCAGGTTAGGATGTTTAATTGATAGGACGTTTAATGTGTTGACTGAGATGTGTCTCAGGTTTGATGGGTTTGTGTCCTTAACTAGATAAATTGTTAATTCCTACTCGGCTGTGTCCCACTGTTACCTCTGATGGTGTTCCCTCCTTTGTATTGGTTGTGATACCAAGTGGTTTTGACAGAGGCGGAAGCTTAAAGACAACTGATCACAGACATCAGAAGGAGACAGTCATCTTTTTTCGGCCATGTTATGAGAAGAGGGAAAATAGAACATGTTGTGACCACTGGAAAGATCTGTGGAGGGAGAGGAAGACATCAAGAGAAGATTCTTGACAGTCTTGTTGCATGGCATGGAGGTGTGTCGACACACGAACTGATACATGCTGCAGGAGATCGCAGATTGTGGAGAGGCACCTGATGATGATGATGATTGGTTGTGATAAGTGTACATGTGTTAACTCGTTTGAGAAAACCTAACATATTTTACTGGAGCATTTCAACGAATCACAGACAAGGGTCAGGGAAGCTTCATGAACCGTAAAGCTACGACCTGGCATCGTCACACAGCTTTTAAAATGCTCCAGTGGGCCGTGCATCGTCGCAACTGGATAGCTTTAAAAGTAGGATGTAAACACCGTTTTGTGTGTGGAATAAAAATGTGTGCAGTTTTTAATAATAAATACAAATATAGAATCAAGATAAGTTTTTTCAAAGGCAAATAGTTTCCTTGTAGCAGGTATGTAAACAGGATGAAAAATCCGATAGGAGTTTCCAGTTACCAAAATCCTTGTGTGGGTATCAATCAGTGACCCATTTGGTTTGCATGTGTGTGTGTGTGGGAGGGGGGGGGGATAGACCTATTGGTCATTAAAAAGCATGTCGTGAAAGGCCACTAAGGAATTTGCTAAAATCGTATGCATTGGGTCAAAAGGCGCAGATATCACACACCACAATGCGGCCTGTCATCGGCGTCTTTACAGGCGAAGATTTCGTTTAGTGGGGATTGTATCCAAGCTCCATGGTGGGCTTTATTGGTTTACAAAGAGACAACAGAGAGACAGACAGGTAGAACGAACGAATGAACAAAGTGCTAAGCCACTGCCCCTAGGCAATGAAAAGTCTACAGCAATAGAAAAACAAAACAAAAACAGAGAAGGGACTAGAGAGTAAAGTGAACCAGCGGTTGTATTTGGTTTTACGAAGTCTCGTTTTCAGCTCAAAATATTAGCAGGATATCCCGTTTTCAGCTCATTATTATAGTCGCCCTTTAGATTGGGCATAATTGCTCTAGTAGAACCCCAATTTTATCTGGTGTGAATTCACGTTTAAATACTTAAGTACAGTTTAAAATTAAAGAAACTAATTCCGTAGTTTATTACTGGTAGTCTATTAACGAATAGCAATGCTGTGGCTTAGCCAAGAGAGAGGATGGCGTAACATAAATGACTGCACACGGGCGTCATGCACCCTACATACTGCTCTCTATGTGATGTTCATAGCAGCGGTCGTGGTGTAGTGGCTAGATGCTCGCCTGCGGATCGGTAGGTTGTGGGGTCAGGACCTGACGGAGCAGATATTTTTTTTTTTTCAGAAATGACCTGTGCTTCTGGTCGACATAGACTTAAAAGGGAACCAGATAAAGTTCCGAGAGGTAAAGACGGCCGGCGTGATGCTGACCACATCACCCACCGCCTGCTGATGTTTCTGTAAACTAGGTCTAGTCTGTTATGTCCCACACGCCCGAAGACGTGGAAAAGGGCCCTTAATTTTTATGTGATGTTCATGAACGTCAACAATGATTATCATTATCATCATCATCAGGTGCCTTGCCGACTGGCGTGGGCGATCATGCCTCTCCATAATCCACGATCTCTTGCAGCATGTATCAGTTCGTGTGCCGACACACCTCCATGCCATGTAACAAGACTGTGAAGAATCTTCTCTCGTTGTCTTCCTCTATCCCTCCTTCCACAGATCTTTCCAGTGGTCACAACATGTTATATTTTCCCTCTTCTCATAACATGGCCGAAAAATGATGACTGTCTCCTTCTGATGTCTGTGATAAGTTGTCTTCGGGCTCCCGCCTCTTTCAAAACCTCTTGGTTGCTCTTTTTGGCTGTCCAAGGTATTATAAGCATTATTCTGTAAAACCACATCTCTGAGGCTTCAAGAAATTGTTTGGCCTGCCTACCGATTGTCCAGGATTCACAGCTATATGTTAAAACTGGATGTATGTAGCAAGCAAGAATTCTTTTTCTAACTCTCAATGACAAGGATATGTTGCACAAGATGTTTTTCAATTTATAAAATGCAGTTACAATGATCATACCACTGTTTAATATGGACCACATTTACTTTAAAAAATCCAAGCTGGATTTATCAGGCAAGAAGGAATTTCAAAACTAAGCACTTTACGAAAAGTTGCCTTAACCTTCATCTTCGTGACAGGTTATGCGGGTGTTCAAGGGAACGAGCGTGCAGACTATCTTGCTGACACTGTTGTTGCTATGGCTGGTCCAGTACTGGACATAAGTGATGTTATCAATGCCATGCGCTGCACTTACCGTACCGAGGAGCACGCCAAAAGACGTGACTCCGTATCGGTGTCTAGACTGATGGACAAAGGAGTGCAGCCTGGAGCTACAAGAAGTGAACATTTCACTAAGGGGACAAGACGTTTCATTAACCAACACAGAACAGGCGTCATCGGTCGTTTTACAGTTGTGGAGTATCACTAATCACTAATCACATTTACTTACGCTGCTCATATGTTCTGTCATGGGGTCCCGTAATGTATCTTCCATAGCGGCAATGTTTGTAAAGGAAGGATCAGATGAATTTAGATTGACGACTGTTGAGTGGTCGTGGGAACCCGGCCCGGCTATTGTCGCCCGGCGACTGTGAAACAATGTGAAGAATATTTCAACATGGGCAAAAATACATATTTTCCAGAAACCTAATTAATTAACATTTGGTTAATTCGACGAAAGTCTCCCCAATTACGCACTCTTACACACTAGCTCACTTCTGATTGGTCGACCTTGAGCCACATTACCTTGCCAGAAAATGACGGGGGTGTTCTGCAATGTCGTTGATATCGCGTGTTGTATATTTCAGCATGCCAGCGCTTTTAACACTATAAAACATGGCCAAACTGGGTCTAACAAACAACTCCCCTAGAGAGTGCTGCAACCTATGTCACGGGCATTCTCTTTCTTGGAAGTAAAACATAAATGCAAGACAAGCCAGAAAGCAAACAACAGAGCGGCACACCCGTAACCCCCAGGGAAAGTAGACCAGTCCAACAAATTTATCAACGGAACGTGACCTACTTTGTTTGGGGAGATTAACTTCGAACTAAATTAACACTTTATGCGATTCATTCATTCTTTGTCCTGTTGTGCCATTATATGTCACAATGGGCTCGCAGTCTATTCCACCATTCCGTTCTATCCTGTGCAGTTAGTTCAATATCAGGGATTGAATCCGGTCCAGCAGCTTTGGCCTCTCTCACCAACGTTCGTCTTTGGGTTTCTTTTGGGCGACCTCGCCTCCTCAATCCCTTTATTTCCCATTACAGTGCCTGTTTAGCGAATCTTTTCTAGTTTCTTTTCATGATGTATCTAGTATAGCACCATCTTCTCTCTCTTATAACTGTGGTTAATAGTGGTTGCTCAGTTAAGTTAGTTGCTTATTCTTTACAGGACGTTGCAGAACCAACCCCAGCATTTTTTGGCTGTTGTAGTTTTTCTAGGCAAATTTTACGATCAGTAGTTCGCCCTTGCTACTGAACGGCCAGCTCTCGGTAGCACTGTTAAATTAACGAAAGTCAAACCGTCAGCAGCAGGGATAGAACCCGGCATTACGAAGCTCGTTCGCAACGCCTAAGCCAAAGACGCCGACAGTTACCAATTTTTTATTTTTTATTTTAATGGAATATTAAATAACGTCTTCAAAATGATTTTAATCAGTCACAATGCAAAGGCTGATGCACTTTGAACTAACACGTGAACTGAATGTAATCCACATTGCCGTCAATTTGAACACATTCACTTGTTATTTCCTGTGTCCAGACTTTAAGGACACCCCGACTGACAGATCACATGAACACTGTAAGTCGAAAGCCCTAGAAGAATGATCATCAGTATGTAGAAGTTCCTTTACACTCCTATCACTTATTCTCAAAGTCCACGCCGTGTGGCGTCGGTAGTCATATCTGTCCACAACCTTCTGTCTCGAGTACTTTCAATCAAGTCTGACACAGATGAGCCTCCATGCTATGATTTCAAACTGTCCAGCATCTTTTCTCTCTGTCTCCGTCTGCCTCTCCTCCCCTACAATGTTTCTACTGTCACGATATACTTCAGATTTCTCCTTCTCATCACATGACCAAAGAATGTAGATTGTCTCTGATCATCTCAACCCGCATTAAAACAACTTTAGCCTCCTGCCAGCTCTGCAGCTTCCCGCAAGTTGCTACTCAATGTGTCTCTTATATCATGTGCGTATCTCCATACTGGTCATTTCCTGCCCCTCTTTCATATTTCCATGCTTACCGCCACTAATCTTTCCAAACCACCCATTGAGCTTGATATGGCTACAATATTCAAGTTTCTGCGATACGATGCTGTTTACTAACCAGTCTTCTTTGATATTCAGACATTTAGGATGTCATTATTTATTCTCTTCCTGGTCCATGGGGGCAGGCGCCGTGGCGTAGCGGCTAGACTCTGGGTTCGCTTCCCTGGCGGAGCCGGATTTTTTTCAAAAATGACTTTGTCTCCCTGGTCGACCCTGCCTTGAGTGGGTACCAGGTACAGTCCTGGGAAATAAAGTCGGCCGGTGTGATGCTGACCACATCACCCATCTTATATCGTTGGTCTATAAAAAATAGGTCTAGCCCTATATACCCAATACGCCTGAAAGGCGGGGAAAAGGGTCCCTTACTTGACTTCCTGTTCCATGGTATTCTGAAAATCTCTCTTTAACATTTCAAGTCAATAGCCCATATTTTCTTCCTAAACGACTGCGAGATAGTCCACGACTGATACGTGTATGCTGTCACTGGAAAGATGCATAACCCTTACAAATCCATGACCAAAGAAATTGAGGAATGTCTCTTTCTGATGCGTGTGATACGTTATCTTCGAGCCCGAGTCCCAACACTGAAAGACCACTAGCACAGTACAAATGGTAATGATAGGTGGGCTTTCCCAAGACTTCAGTTTAATGCTAGTCGATTGGCGGCCCGGGGGTGCCTAGCATTTGTACTGTATTAGTTAGTGGTCTTCCTAATCTGGGATTCGGAACTCTAACCCGCGACGATCCCCGTTTTCAATAATTTGGCCCCTGAGTAAAGTCGACTCATCTGCCATCATTAGACCAACCTCTGTTGCATCGTTTGATTTGATTTGATTCAAGAACCGAGATCGGGGCATTCTCATAAGCGCTCCATCCCCATCTTCAGCAGCCAGCAAAGAGTTCCGATACTTATGGTGCCAGTAGCATTCTGATTAAATTTCCGTCTTGCTTTTCTTCTGAGCCTCGAGCATCTGGCAGAACCTCTCGTCACTCCCTCTTGCATCAATCTCACCAGACTGTGGTGATCCATCTGCTTCTCCGAACTGTACACACTCTCCCACAAGACAATAACCACGTCTGCCTTATCATGTATCAGTATTCCACCGAGTTGTGCAGAGCAAGCCAGTCTGTCCGCATGTTCGTTTCCAATACACCAGCGTGCCCGGTTAACAAAAAATCCAGACAATACTCCTCATCCGTGTCCTCCGCAGCGAAGCATGCCTGTCCTGATCTTCCTCAGCATGCTTTCTGAGTCAGTTACAGTCACAATGTGTGTGTGTGTGTGTGTGTGTGTGTGTGTCGTGTTCTCTAGCCAGCAGAAAGCTGCATTGACTGCCTCCACCTCCATTCTTAAGCTGGATGTTGTGGTATCATATGCTAGGCTCTCCTGCATCAAACGTCAACCATTAACTTTTGCTAAGAAGCCCCAAGCATTTTTTTCGCCTTATCCACTAATCTCCTTGTGAGATGCTATTTTTCGTTATTTGAAGCCCTACTTTGGCTCTTGCCAGGGGCCGCAATATAGCCCGACCATAAATATGGTCTAATGGCTGAACGCGGTGTCTGGGACCTCTCCACGGTGATTCTCATCCACATGGTGGCACTTTGTGTCATCGGGTGTTTATTGCTTGTATGATGTCCTGGTGGGGTACTACTACTACTACTACTACTACTACTACTACTACTACTACTACTACTACTACTACTACTACTACTACTACTACTACTACTACTACTACTACTACTTTTGCCTCTTGACACTTCACCGTCTGTGTAATTAAGGGGAAGTAACTACGTTATTTAAACGACAGTCTGCCTGATCTCCCATGGTGGATTCATGTACACTTTAAAAGCAACAGGCTCTTCAATTGCATAGGAAAATTTGCTGCACCTGAAATTACTTATTTCTATTATCAAACCTGGACGTTTGTCTTTAATGTGAATCCAGTACTGCTGTATGCATCAAATGACGCTAAACATAACCTAAAAGTTGAACGGGATTCCCTGGACTTGTGTCCCGATGATTCTCATCCGAATAGTGGCACTTTGTGTCACCGGGTGTTTATCGCTCGTCTTGTGGTACTGGTGGGGTTAAAGGTCAGGGCAGGCACTTCCATTCAGCTCTACCCTGTCCGAACTTCAGGTTACTTTGTAATCGGCAGGGACCCCAGTTAACTGTGTGACTAAACAAAGTTTCTGGGATTTGTACCTGAAGGATTTTTATCCGGATTGTGTTGCTTTGGAGTCTGCCAACGCGAGGGCTAGTCCTAACGTCCCTCACATGCGCTTCCTCAAGGCTGGAATTATTTCTAAAGGTACAACTCAACAAAGTCGCATACGTTCATCCACATTTGACTGTGCGCGGATAGGCAACTGGCTATTGATCTGTCTGGTTTTAAAAGATAAACCGAACTAATCTGAAAGACTGGCATGAGACCAGACACGATATTATACTCGGCTCATTCTGTTAGACCTGAGCATGCCGCACGAGTCGCGAATCGAAGACCAACACACGTACGAGCTCTAAAAGTACAGTGATCTGGCACGCAGTAAAGCTCCTCCTCGTCGAAGTAGGCGCAAGAGGGCTAATCTCCACCTCCACATACAATGTACTGAAGCAGCTGTACTTTTGAGGAAACAAGCGTGAGCGGGCACTCAAGCAACTGGGTGAAGCTGCTGAAAGAGCTTCGCGCTGGCTGTGGTCACGACGGAACGACGCGGGGATAGGTCTTGATAAACTGGTCTAAGCCTATAATGGAAAAGAACTTTTAAATCTCTCAAATTAAAGCTGTCCTATTAACGTCCGCCAGTGCTACTTCCAACTGGCAAATCTGTCCAATTATTATCTGTCCGATAAATCAACCATCCATTTGTCACTCTGGTCGTACAGGTAGGCGAATAATTTGCTACCGCAGCGACGATATATCCCCATAACCTCAGTACACGTTGCAATCACCATAATGTCTTGTTGAATTGACCGCTAAGTGCAGCAGGAGTTGTCCGAGACCCTGGAGTCACGACCTGGGTTCTCCCCCCTCCCCCTTTCCTCCCGAGTTTGTCTTGGACAAAAACGGGCCGAAACAATTGTTGAAGGGAGACCACCTACTGAGGATCGATAGGCTTCTGTTTAGCATGCTCTATCCGTGTTCTACTTCTACACAAAATTAAAAGGTTATTCATAAATTACAAACATTAATTAGCTTAAGTTAAGCAGCAAGAATACAGAGGTAGAACTACAAAAGCAGGGCTTTTCGAAAAACTTAATTTAATATATTTAATTAATAAATGAGCGAGACATCTTTGAAAAAATTTGTGTCCCACTGATTTCTTTCTAGGCAGTGGCCATACTTGCCAGGTGACTGAAGCCATTGTCACGTTAGCGTGATCCTCATTTTACCGTTGGGGAACTTAAACCCATGACTAACAATCATACTGGCACACGAGGCTCTCAAGCTCAAACCACCATCTGGTTAACAAAACAAAAACAACAACAAACCTGAACATGTTGGCCCTAGGTTTGGCGAACGCTGATAAGTTGGGAACAGACGAATCACGAGTCATCTCTCGGACTGCAGCTTTGGCATCTTGGACGCTGAGTTTTGTGAACGTGCGCAAAATGGAAGGGTCACGGATCTTTGGCTTCTCTCGGAGTAAAAATGGCTTCACGTATTTCGTGTTGTAATAGTCAAATCTGGGGCGATTAGAAACATGCGTAAAATATTGGTGACTGTTACGTTGCAATATCATTATGTATCGTTAAGAAAAAATATGTTGTTTTCACCTTTACGTCTTTCTAGGCGATATCATTAAAAAAAGCATGGAAAAGCATGAAAAACACAGCCCATGGCGACGGCGAGAGCGACTTAAGGCCAGGGATAAAGTTCTTTCTCTCCATAGTACACACCCTGGGCAGTATTTTGGAAACTATATGTTGGGGACAGCGTATCCACCGAAATAAGTGGATCACTCCGAAGCTGGACAGAGAAGGGCACCAGCTTGTTCTGACAGTCAGAGATTATTATCAAAGGTATAGGTTAAAACACCCCATGTGGATGTGGAAGACAATGGGAAACCACCACATAATTTTCCTAAGTAAACTCATGAGAAAAGACAGACCGAATCACACGAACGACGTTAATGGAAGTCTAAGAACAGCCTTGTCCAGTAGAGACAGTCACAAGTCACAGGTGACACCAGATTGTCATCAAGATACTGATGACAATTTTTAAAAAGTAACGAAATTTAAAAATGTTAAACTACTAAAGTGGAATGTGAGAACACGTGCAGAATTGGGAAAGACAGAAAATGTTACAAAAGAAATCGAATTTATGAATATAAACATCATAGGAATGAGTGAAATGAGATGGAAGGGTGCTGGAAAGATCAGAAAAGATAAGTACACAATAATATACTCGGAAAGCGACAAACATGAAAAGTGGTGGGGATACTTTTTGATAAAGAAACAGCAAAAGCAACTGTGTGTTACTGGCGTATATCAGATTAGGTTATTATAGTTAAAATCATAGGCAAACCAATAAACATAAGCATAATACAAGTGAATGCCCCAACATCAGTTAGCAGTAAAGAAGAAATAGAAAATTTTACGAAGATTTAAATCTGGCAATAGCCTAAACAAAATCACAAGAAATTAAAATAATATTGGGAGATTTCCATGCAAAAGTTGGGAAATAGAGAACGGAAGATGTAGCTGGGGAATATGGTTTAGGATCAAGAAATGGAAGGGGGGTCATATTATGAAAAGAAAGAAACTGGAACATGTTGTGACTACTGGAATGATCTGTGGAAAAAGAGACAGGGGAAGACCAAACTGGTAAATTCTTGACAGCCCTTGTCATTGCACGGAGTGGTGCCACGCCAGTCGGCAAAGCACTTGATGATGATTATTATTTTGTTTATTTCTTCTGCACCCATAAGCGCTAATCGGTACATTAACTTAATTAATGTTTATAATACAGATTCTAGAATAGTTTGACACATTCATATACCCGTGAATATACGGTGGGAGGGTTGGGGGGGGGGGGGGGCGTTAGGAGGCAGGCGTGGAGGAGGGGTTGTCTCCGTGGCGGGGCCGGTTGCCTCTCGCGCTCTGAAGGTCGCCGGGTCCAATCATGGCTGCGTCGTTCACTTCACGAGTGCACTTTTTACGGAGATTCCCACTGATCGTCGTCGATGTTACGGAATTCGTGCTTTGTGCGAAGCTCTCGGCAGGCAGCTTGCCGTTCTGTACAGAGAGATCGACCCACATAGGATGACACCAGCAGCAATGAAGGTGGTGATCTTGCCTTTAATTACCTTTAAACATTACAATAGACTACTTTAATTAACTTTAAACATTACAATAGACTACTTTAATTAACTTTAAACATTACAATAGACTCTTTATATCTTGCAGACATCCAGGAAGATTGGCTAATAAACAGCATCTTGCCTCGGAAGCTGAAATTTTTGGATCATATCAACCTCCGTGGACACAAACTAATGGCAGAAGGCATGATACCAGGAAGGAGGGGCAGGGGCCGACCAACACAAAGATGGGCACAGGATATAAATGTCTCCTTAAATATGAAAGTACACGAGGCGGGAGAGCTGGCGAGAGACCGAGTTTCTTTCAGGCAGACCGTGATAGGAGCGACGTTTTGCAAAGGACCTGTTACATGATGGGAAATCTGGCAAGGTCGGTTTCCACTTACTTGTTGTAGAATGAATTGTGTCCAGCTTTGCCGACAATATCCTTCGATGCCAGCCATCAGGTGATCAATGAACTACAAGGAAACAGTCCAGGCAAGAAAGTTTAAACAAAATACAGTTTTATTATGTAAGTTTGTATTATGGGGGTCATCAATGAATTGGACATCATCAAAAATATTGCGTTATGACGATAAGGCGGTCACGGGTTACCACAGGGAACTCGGAATCTCGATGTTCAGGCGTCCACCATTTTAGGAGTGGAGGCTAAGATCCCCTGTTTAAAAAATTTACAAGATCTACAAGAAGGTAATTCCCCCCCCCCCCCCATTTTCCAATTCCACCACTGCTACATATATTTGCTCGCTATCATATAATACTTGACTGGCACCTTTCCGTCTTTCCAGACGATATTGTTATTCTGTGCCGTGAGGAGGCATGGTACTCAGAACCCATGGCGATGGCGAGTGTGACTAGCAAGCCTCGCCTGCGATTAAGAAAAGTCTTCCGCAATTAAAGCATGACAGTTCAGGACCGATGTTGTAATAATTTGTGTTTAGTGTATTTTTTCTCAGACGCTCAGCTCTCGTCCTTTCTGCACACATTTCTTCCATCATTCGCATTCCCTTTCTGATGTGTTCCTTCTATACAACATTGTCCATGGCATCCCCCCCCCCCTTTTTTTTTCGAGTCCACCTCAGTACCTGTATCATTCATGTCCCGCTTACACACATTTTTATATCGCAGTAGAGGCTGGCCTCGATATCTTCTACCGTCTTTAATTCACCTCGAGAATGTCCTCAAGGACTCTGTCATCTTCCATTCTCCAGGTGTGACCCAGCCACCTGAGTCTTAGTAGACTGAATATTGAGAAAACCTGAGTTGAGTCAAAAATTGACATCACAGCAGTCAGGGAATTCCCATGCGTGTTTCGTTCTCAAATTCAGCAGCCAGCGCAGAGTTCCAATACTGATGGTACCAGTCACAATCTAGTTATATGTCCGTCGTGCCTTTCCTCTGAGTGTAGTGAGCCGGCCAGACCCTCTGGTTACACCCAGGTGCCTCATTTTCTCCAGGCCATACTAATCTTGTTTCTCTACTGATTCCGTTGCTTGTTCTCAAAAGGCATTGACCACATCTGCCTTGTCATGTTGAGAAAACCTGGTCTTTCCAGTACCTCAGTGTTTGCGATCTTGCTCTGCCAGTTAATTCCACAATAATAACAACCCTACTGTATCGTGGCAGAGATTAGGACAAGGAACAAGCAACAAGAAAATCAAACCGACTCTCAGGGAATGTGAATATACAGAATCTATATATTCTATATCCCCTTAACGTCGCTTTTGACCCATAAGGCATTCACAAGTGAAATCCACTGCTGCCGGTCTGCTGCTTTTCTGCCCATAGTATCCAATGTCAGTTTACATTCCTTCATTTCCCGTTCTACTGTCCCTCTTTAGGTTGCCTTAGGTTGTTCACGTCTTCTTTTCCCATCTGCTGTCCACCAGAGATCTGTTTTTGCCAGTGACACAAGGCATTCTGCAGACATGTCCAAGCCATCTCCATCGTCTTACTTTGATAACAAGTAATGCACCAATGCAAAAGGGGAAAAGCACGGACAGAGCTGATATCATCAACGCTGTACGGATTAGTTGGGAGATAATGGCGAAACTCTGCTGCTAACACGACTTCGTGACCGAGAAGTTAAGCTTGGTGAAGCATGACTATGCCGACTTAAAGGTAAAGACTGGAGATACTATAACCAACTCCTCATGGGAACAATAATTAGAGGTACCATGAAGTGGCTTATGCATCGGAGGACTGAGCACGCATGGGGATGCCCAATGTGCAAAAACGTCAATTGTGATAACATAACATAACATAACATAACTTTGAAAACATTTGCCAGTGATGCACATTCTATTTTCCTCCTTAGTTCTTCATTTGAGATCTTGTTTGGCCAAAATATTCGTAGAATTCTCCTTAAACATTTATTTTGAAAAGTCTCAAGTTTAGGATATACAGAATAACGGGTCGTATTTCTTGAAAACAAAAACAAATACAGAGCTTCTGGGGAATGTACACATGAAAAGAGAGTTACTAAAAGAAATTTAAAAAGAGAGAGAGAGAGAGAGAGAGAGAGAGAGAGAGACAATTGAAATATTAGGGCCACACTAAAAGACATAAGACTCTTTTAAAAACCATACTAGAGGGAAAAGTTGATAGCAGCAACGCAAGGGATAGGCAACCATACATGTGGAGGGACACAATCAAGAGATGGACAAACAGCAGTTGAGAGAGTGTACAACCAAGACAAGTGAAAGAGATCCACTGCAGCCAACCGTCAATGTGGAGAAGGCACCTGATTAACTGACTGAATGATTGTTTGATATGATTGTTTTAATAACTGATCGTGGAGAAGTCTAGGTAAAATAAACTTATATTGACAGAGAGGGAAATATATCACACACTCTTAGGACTTACCCGCTTGTGAATAATTTCATTCATGGATGTATCTTTCTCACCGGCTCTTTCTACTTTCAGGGCATTCACTATTGGCTTGATTGTAGTTCCCTGTTTGATGTAAACAGAATTAGACATAAGCCTCAAGATTTCCTGTCTTGGTCCGCACAACTTTAAATTGTGCACGATATCTAATTTACACATTTGCATATTTTTATAAATAAACATCCCCGCCTGGGTTCTCGGGCTCTGTTTGTGAGAACAAAGAATAGACCCGCTGCCTAAACAAGTAGAGGTTAGTTGCGTATCCTTTACAGGACGTTGCAGAACCAATCCCAACAGCCCCTGGCTGTTGTGTGGTTTCTCTAGGCAAATTTACGCCCAGTAGTAGTGTGCCATTGCTTCTGGACGGTCAGCTTTTTTGATACCACTGTCGAAACCAACGCAAAGCACAAAGCCTGCATCTGGGATCGAACCCGGCATCCCGGCATTACGAGGCGTTCGCATCGATTCAGCCACAGAGCCGACCATACAAATAGAGGGCGACTAATTATGGATGTTTCTTTTTAAGTTGGAGTGTATTTGCCTGAGAGGTGTAAGTTGGAGTGTATTTGCCTGAGAGGTGTAAGTTGGAGTGTATTTGCCTGAGAGGTGTAAGTTTGAGTGTATTTGCCTGAGAGGTGTAAGCTGGAGTGTATTTGCCTGAGAGGTGTAAGCTGGAGTGTATTTGCCTGAGAGGTGTAAGTTGGAGTGTATTTGCCTGAGAGGTGTAAGTTGGAGTGTATTTGCCTGAGAGGTGTAAGTTTGAGTGTATTTGCCTGAGAGGTGTAAGCTGGAGTGTATTTGCCTGAGAGGTGTAAGCTGGAGTGTATTTGCCTGAGAGGTGTAAGTTGGAGTGTATTTGCCTGAGAGGTGTAAGCTGGAGTGTATTTGCCTGAGAGGTGTAAGTTGGAGTGTATTTGCCTGAGAGGTGTAAATTGGAGTGTATTTGCCTGAGAGGTGTAAGTTGGAGTGTTTTTGCCTGAGAGGTGTAAGTTGGAGTGTATTAGCCTGAGAGGTGTAAGTTGGAGTGTATTTGCCTGAGAGGTGTAAGTTGGAGTGTATTTGCCTGAGAGGTGTAAGCTGGAGTGTATTTGCCTGAGAGGTGTTTAGGTTTAGACGGCGGATCAACATCTTAGCACAAGGGTAGTAACCCATAAGTGCTCCACCCTACTTCTGACTCAGGCCTAAGTCCGATGAATGTCAGAGCAGTGCACGAACTCCGTAGCACCGGCGAGGACCCTGAAATACTTTGGGTAGATTTTTAACTCCAAATTATGCCAGGGTAGCGCCGTTAGGCTACTCTTTCTTGGTTTCAAACTGCCAAGGCATTTTTTACGTGCGAAACAATACACACGGGCGTCTGATCCTACTACACAGCGCCCCGGGAAATTACTAGAAGTCCAAATGAAATAATCCCAGCCTTCACGTGGCTTGAACATGGGACCTCCAGCACTCGAGGTGGACGCCATGCCTTGAGACCACGCAGTCCCTCAGGTGGTGTGATTATTTGTACAAATGGCTCGGACAGTTTCTTGGTAACTCTTAGCAAAAGCGGGAGTCGCCGTGGCCGAGCGGCTAGACGCTCGTCGCGAATCGGAAGGTCGTGGGTTCGCTCCATGGCGGAGCCGGACTTTTTTCAAAACTGACCTTGGCTGCCAAGTCGACCCAGCCTTGAGTGGGAACCAGGTGCAGTCCCGGGAAAGTAAAGGCGGCAGGCGTGATGCTGACCACATCACCCATCTTGTGCCGATGGTCTATAAAATTTAGGTCTAGCCCTATATGCCCTATACGCCTAAAGGCGTGGAAAAGGGTCATTTACTTCTCACTTTTTCTTAGCAAAAGCGAATGGATGTCGTGTAATGCAACAAAGCACAGCATATGACAGTACACAGTTTGAGAATGGAGGTGGAGACAGTCACTGCAGCATTTCCACTGGCTTGAGAATCAGCTGTACACACATGTAGTAATTTTAATACAATTAGACAGTTACTGATACATTTTTACGTCACTGGCAAAGGATCTGACAACATATAGCTTGTCAGCATCAATTCACCACCAAATGATGCAGAACCACCCATTCTATCTGCCTGTATGTTTCCCAAAAACACTGGCATCTCCTGAAAAAACATACCCAAAGAACGCCAACTCCTCGGGACCTCTCAATGCTTGCTATTCTGCACGGAGCCTAGCTGTTAAACTGTACACGATGGTGCAAAAGTTACCTGAATAAAAACTGTGAAATATATGATGACCATTGTAGTGGTGACGTAAAGCTCTCTCTCTGGGACAACACTTTTGTTCAGCAGAAGAGCCAGGCAGAATGCTACCCCGCCCCTCAGACCACCGTAGGCCATGATGAATTGGTCGATGGCAGACATGCGAATGACTCTGTAGCGGTTGAGGAAAGCCGACAATATAATAACACCTGTTGAGATGAATATTGGTTGAAATCAATCAATCAGTCAACCAGGTCAGGAGACATAACAACTCGAGCGCTCATGTAGATGGTACTACAATCAGTCAATCAGGTCAGGAAACATAACAACACGAGCGCTCTTGCTGATGGTACTACAATCCGTCAACCAGGTTAGGAAACATAATAACAAGAGCGCTTATGTAAATGGTACTACAATCAGTCAACCAGGTCAGGAAACAGAACAACAAGAGGCTCATGTAGATGGTACTACAATCAGTCAACCAGGTCAGGAAACATAACAACACGAGTGCTCATGCTGATGGTACTACAATTAGTCAACCAGGTCAGGAAACATAACAAAACGAGTGTTCATGCTGATGGTACTACAATCAGTCAGTCAGGTCAGGAAACAGAACAACACGAGCGCTCATGCTGATGGTACTACAATCAGTCAACCAGGTCAGGAAACATAACAACACGAGTGCTCATGCTGATGGTACTACAATCAGTCAACCAGGTCAGGAAACATAACAACACGAGGGCTCATGTAGATGGTACTACAATCAGTCAACCAGGTCAGGAAACAGAACACGAGCGCTCATGCTGATGGTACTATAATCAGTCAACCAGGTCAGGAAACATAACAATACGAGCACTCATGCTGATGGTACTACAATCAGTCAACCAGATCCTGAAACAGAACAAAACGAGCGCTCATGCTGATGGTACTACAATCAGTCAACCAGGTCAGGAAACAGAACAACACGAGGGCTCATGCTGATGGTACAATAATAATTCAACCAGGTCCGGAAACAGAACAACACGAGCGCTCACACTGATGGTACTACAATCAGTCAACCAGGTCAGGAAACATAACAACACGAGCACTCATACTGATGGTACTACAATCAGTCAACCAGATCATGAAACAGAACAAAACGAGCGCTCATGCTGATGGTACTACAATCAGTCAACCAGGTCAGGAAACATAACAACACGAGTGCTCATGTAGATGGTACTACAATCAGTCAATCAGGTCAGGAAACATAACAACACGAGTGCTCATGTAGATGGTACTACAATCAGTCAATCAGGTCAGGAAACATAACAACACGAGTGCTCATGCTGATGGTACTACAATCAGTCAACCAGGTCAGAAAACATAACAAAACGAGTGTTCATATAGATGGTACTACAATCAAATGAGTACCAAAATTAAAATATCTCGGAAGCATATTTACAGATGCGGCGTCTGTGGCTTAGGCGTTGCGAGTCCCGACTTGTAACTCCAACGTACCGACATCGAAACCCACTGCTGGCTGCGTGGATTTGCAATCTCTTCAAACCTCTTCTTATTTATTTATTTTTTTTCCTGTGAGGGTTACGGGGGGGGGGGGGGGGGGGGGGCTATTATAGGGAAACCAAGAAAAGACGCACGGCCTACCCAAAAGCATGTCGTAAGAGTTGACTAATTGGAAGCTTTCTTCCAAGTCGGAGTGCATCTGCCTGAGAGACAAGGAACCAACAGTCTGCACGCCAATGAGGCAGATCTGTCAAAAGGATGTACACGCAACACTCAGGTCCAAAAGTGGACGAACAACCAGAACTTTCCATGAAATACAACCTACTCTTCTGCTCATCACAGTTCCAGAGACTAGATTCGATTTTTAGTTGCTTTGTCACTCCTAGTTTCCGCACTACACTGCAAGGTTGAGCATACATTACTGTTGACGGTTCTAATTTGTAATTGTTGTTTATTGTCCATGCTGTCATAAACTTTTATGTCTTATGGAAAACAGTTCTAGCCATTCCTTTTTTTTTTTCCTCTTCCCCTTCTGCCGTCATCTGGCATTGCTTGTCCAAGACAGGAGAAACCTATGGCTTATTCTAAAATCTCTCTGCTTACAGTACCGGTCATTGTTGGTCGCTCTTTTCAATTGCTAATTTTCATATATTTTCCTCTGAATTTTTTTGTCTAAACCAGTGATTTTCAAACTGTGCGCCGCGGCGCCCCGGGGAGCCGCGACTTCTTCACAGGGGCGCTCGAAACAAATGAAGAATAACGAGGTTTTTTGAATTCGTTTTTTTTTTTTTTTTTTTGTGGTTTAATCTGTTACATTCGAATAGTTATACTTTTACTTAGGTTAAGGCGCAGTATAAACATTTTAATTGAAAAAGGCGCCGCGACTAAGAACAGTTTTAGAAACACTGATCTAAACTAAACCATTCTTCTCTCCTCTTGTTTTTTCTTAAATATCTAGAAACCATGAGTTGTAAACCCTTTGGTTTGGCACTACGGATATCGCAACCCATCGGTCTTCATTACATGATAGATACCGTAAATCTGGGAGAAATGTGGCTTTTCTGCCTACCCCCTGGCGAGAACCCAGACCACAAGGAATTCGTCACCCGGTCGCCGCACAGAGGGTTTTAACCAACTGCGCTAGCGAGCTGGGCTTTCCTACGGGTTAGGTAGTCCACTAGATTCTGTATCTTCTACACACTTTCTGATAGTAACAATGTGTCATCTGCATTTCTTTTTTGTAAATTAATAATTTTCTATTGATATAATAGGTCCAGTCAATTCTCCAACTTAAGATCTCTATTCCCCCCCCCCCCCCCCCCTTTCCGGGATAGTGGGGAAAACAAGAATAGACCCACTGCCTCCCCAAAAGCATGTCGTAAGAGTCGACTACCTGGGGAGCTTCCTTTGAAGTCGGAGTGCATCTGCCTGAGAGGCAAGGAACCAGCAGTCTACATTCAATTGAATCAGATCTGTAAAACGGATGCAAACGCAAAACTCAGGTTCTGGAGCAGGACTGCAGTCCAGAAGTGGACGAACAACCAGAACTTTACGCCAGAGTGTACAGCTGGTGAACGCGAAGAAGAAGATCTCTATCCGTGTTGAGCGTCGATATGGTTCTGTTGCTATTTATAATCGTTGATTTATCTCTTTTTGGAGAGGACGTTCTCTTCCTTCCCTCCCTCTCGCCAGTTATCTAAAACCATGAGGGTTACATACTGCCGGCTAGCTTTATGGTAGCGTTTGTAATTAAGACCTAGATGTTGTAAACATTATTATTATTATTAACTATTAAATTAAAGTATAATAACATAAAGGACCCTTGTCGCGCCAGTAGCCTCTCCGGCTACTATTGTTGTAGACCAATGGTCGCTCAACTTTACCTGGTATCCATTTTAGGCTTGGTCGATCTAGGAGCTAGACACATCTGTTTTTTTTTTTTTTTTTTAAAGAACAATTTCTTATTTCATGCGGATTTGAACCCAAGGCCTTCCGATCAGAAACAAACATCTAGCCGTTACACTTACAGCAGGGATAATCAACAGACAGCCCGCGTGCGGAATTTGGCCCGCAGAGGCCTAGCAAAAGGCCCCGTGGATTATATTGAATTATTGATCTTGCTACGCCTGGGTTTGGGTCTTTAGCCTCTGGCGATCCTTATTTTCAAAATTTTGGCTCATAATTAAAATTAGCCGAAAAGCTCTGTCAGGCCCACTATCGCGGTTCCCCCAGCAATTGTGTTTACCAGTGTTTCCCAAACTTGTCTTTGTAGCTTTTTTCAATAAAACAAATTTTCCACAGCGCCCTAACCTAAGTAAAAGTATGACTATTCGTATGTAAGAGATAAACAAAAATAAAACTCGTGTATCTTCAAATATTTCACGGCACCCCTGTGAAGAGGTCGCGGCTCCCCGGGGCGCCGGGGCGCCACGGCGCAAAGTTTATAAACCATTAAATATTAACGTAACACAGAGCTACCTACCAGTGATACGAAAGAAGAGACAGAAAAACACCGAAAACAGGATAAAATCCAGCTGAAAATCGTGGGAGTCGGTCACAGTGGACAGTCCTAGGAACATGAAGATGATTGTCTCTGAAATTGTAGCCATCATCTTGGAGAAGTACTTGACCGTTACGGCCGATTTCTTGGCCACGTTGTTCTCTGAGTAATGCTTCATAATGACCCCGCTAAAGGTCAGCCTGAGGGTAGAAATAAGGCTGTGTAAACGGTTGGGCAGACATCATAGAATTTAAAAGTTAGTTGCGTATCAATTACAGGACGTTGCAGAACCAACCTTAGCATTTTTTGGCTGTTTTGGTTTTTCTAGGCAAGTTTACGTCCAGTAGTTTGCCATTGCTATCTGGATGGTCGGCTTATCGATACCACTATCGAAACCAACGCTTGGCGCAAGGCCCACATATAGGATCGAACCCGGCACCCCAGCATCACGAAGCGCGTTCGCAACGCCTAAGCCACAGATGCCGACTCACGAAATATACAGTAGTAAAAAAGAACCCTTTTCCACTGCTTCACGCGTACTGGGTATATAGGGCTAGACCAATCGGCACTTGGTGTATGATGTGGTCAGCATCACACCGACCGTATACACAGGAGCACCGTATTTTAATAACGGTAGCATCTGTGGCTTAGGCGTTGCGAACCCGCTTCGTAATACCGGGTTCGATCCTAGCTGTAGTCGATTTGGCAGCTGACAGCCTTGCGTGTGATTTTACACATATGGTGCCAAGAGTGAATTATATACATATGGTGCCAAGAGTGAAATATAGACATATGGTGCCCTGAGTAAAATATATACAAATAGTGCCAAGAGTGAAATATATTCATATAATGCCAGGAGTGTAATATATACATATAGTGCCAAGAGTGAAATATATACATATAGTGCCAAGAGTGAAATATATACATATAGTGTTAAGAGTGAAATATGTACATATAGTGCCAAGAGTAAAATATATACATATAGTGCCAAGAGTGAAATATATACATATAGTGCCAAGAGTGTCACCCAAAAAAAAATTATGTGTCGTAGGATGCTCAACCCCTGTAATGTTCTAGGGGACAGGACCTGAGCGGCTTAAATCTTGATTAAGTGCGCAACAATAATAACATCTGCTGAATGTGAAAAAAATATAAGAAATTCATTTGAAATAGTTTGAAATTCATAAACAAATTTAAGAAAGCACTGGTAAACTACTGAACTGAATTCATACAAAGCCCCCACATTTATTTATTTTCAGTTTTATGTTAATGTTGGTTCTGCAATGTCATGTAAAGTAGTAGTCATCTTAACAACAGTATCCTGTTCAATCCATCCTGGTTATAACTGCGATACATAGAGTATTTGTTTCTATTCGAGTAATATATATATATATATATATATATGTCTACCAATTATGATTGTTTATGTAATATCGCACAGCTTATGCATTAATTGTTTAAGACTGTGTGGGTTTAGATTGTAGATTGTCCTGCAATTTGTATAAACAAGTATGTGAAAATAAAATGTATGCAGATAGTTATGCTGGGGATAACAAGTTTTCTAGATCTGGGGGAGGTCGGTCCTCATTCCTAGCCTGGTGCGGATTGAGGTTAGTATGTAATCTTCGGGTGCCCTAATATAACAGTTGTAAGTGGTTGAATGGAGGAGGAGAGAAGCATTAA